AGGAGCCGGATGCGGGGCTTGATCCCAGGACTCTGAGATCATGACCTGAGCCGAAGGCAGCCGTTTAACGACTGAGCCACCCAGGCGCCCCATATCTTTGCTTTAGTTACAATTGTAGAACAAAAATTTAGTGTAATATCCATTCACTGTAATAAATGCTAATTGGTAGTTTTTCTCTAAGCAAAGTGTACAATTTCTTAAATTACTTTCTCTCTGTTCTGATTGTTTATTGAAATGTAATTTTATGTCTGTTGAATTTCACATTTAAAAAGTGAAATAGCGTTTTGTACAATTTTTTCCACTTTAATCTACGTGTAATTTATTTTTAATCTTAATTTAGTTAAGTATCAGTGACCGATGGATTAAAAGAAAACTGGTCCTTCATCGTGGACTGTAAGTAGCACTGGTCTAAATACGTAGTGTGCTCTTCGAGAGCAGACTGCATTTAATTCAGATTCGCCTGATAGTGGGCCTTAGACAATTATTAATTAAATAAATGAATGAATTTTCAATACTCGACCTTAGGCCTACACCCTTAATCAGATGTCTGTTACAGTCCCTCAATGATTACAGTTGCAGACATCTTTATTCTTATTTTTTTTTTAAGATTTTATTTATTTATTTGAGAGAGAGAGAGAGAGTGCACGAGAGGGGGTAAGGTCAGAGGGAGAAGCAGACTCCCCACAGAGCAGGGAGTCCGATGCGGGCCTCGATGCCGGGACTCCAGGATCATGACCTGAGCCGAAGGCAGTCGCTGAACCAACTGAGCCACCCAGGCGCCCTACAGTTGCAGACATTTTTAAAAAGTTATTAAAGGGGCGCCTGGGTGGCTCAGTCGTTAAGCGTCTGCTTTCAGCTCAGGTCATGATCTCAGGGTCCTGGGATCGAGCCCTGCATCGGGCTCCCTGCTCAGCGGGAAGCCTGCTTCTCCCTCTCCCACTCCCCCTGCTCGTGTTCCCTCTCTCACTGTGTCTCTCTCTGTCAAATAAATAAATAAAATCTTTAAAAAAAAAAAAGTGTATTAAATACCAGGACCTGCGTAAGCTCTTCCCTTTCGCCTCTTTCACTCACGTTCTCCTTCCTCCCGGGGAGAGGGCGTGCCCAGCACCACGACCCGCCCTATCTGTGCATTCGTTGGCCAAACCCGACGCCCGTTACTGCCGAGTCCCGCCCAAGCCGCGCCCCCACGCAGTCCGCAGGGCCGAGAGAAGGCGCGGCTATAGTGCCGCTGGATGATTCAGACGGTCTCCTCTCGTGAGAATCGGGACGTGCCCGAGGACCGGCTTGGTGCGCGTGGGAGCGCGCTCCGCGTCCCCGCGGAGCTGGCGCGAGAGGCCCGTGGCCGCTGCGGGCGCACGCCCTGCCCCGCCCCCTCCCCGGCACGCAGGCTCCGCGCGAGCTCGCGCGCGCGCGCGCTCCCGTTCAAGCTTCGGTCTGGCCAGCGGCGATCGGGCGGGTGGAGGCTGGGCCGCTGAGGTACGAGGGGAGGAGCCGCCCCTGCCGCCGTCGCCGTCGCCGCCGCTGCTGCTGTAGATGAGCATGTCTGCAACTCGAGCCAAGAAAGTGAAGATGGCCACCAAATCGTGCCCCGAGTGCGACCAACAGGTGGGCGCCGGGGGCCGGCGGGCCGGGTGCGCGGGCGGGCGGCCGGGCGGCCGTCGCCGGCGGCCGTTGGCTGTGGAGAGGCCGCCTCGCCGGGTGGTCTGGCCCTTGGGCTCGGTGGCCACGGTGGGAGCCCGGTGGGAGGCCGGGCTGAGCCGAGGGGATGCCAGGGAGACTCCCGGGTCTCAGTCCGGCCGGTGCCCACCTGGCGGCGTTAGCCGGGCGACTGTGTGTGTCCTGCGGCCCGTGGCGCGGGAGGGAGGCGTGGGTTTGTCTGGAGCGGTCGGGGCGCCCTGTCCGAAGCCTCCGAGAGTCGCCCGGCCGGCTCTGGGTGACAGCGGCGGGAGTGTGGGGGCAGTGGCCTAAGTGGACGAGCACGGCCCCTTCAGCCCCCCTCTGCCCCGACGAGAATGCCCAATGTGCCCGACTCCGAGTCCAGGCTCCTGGCTCCTGGCTGCGAAAGCCGCTCCTGCCACGCAGGGCTGCTTTGTTCCCATCAGACGTATACTGTGACAAAAAGGGCCGCAGCGATTATGATATTTTCCTTTTAGATGTCAATAAATTGGTGATCTTAATATGTCTTTTAATACTTCATATAACCCAAATAATCATTACTTTGTTCTAAATTTTTGATAGAGCACTGCTGAAAAGCCCTACTTTTCTAAGCACTCCCCTCTTAAAATGGTATGTATTTGTCTAAGTTTTTAAAAAGATGAGTTTGCCATTCCTACCTGTGTGTGGTTTCTTGAATTTTTAATAACAGCTTTATAAACTAATTTCGTGAGGTCATTCAATGGCTTTGTGACCACCAGTGGTCTAGGGTTCAGCTAGCCATTCAGGCCTACCCTGCGCCCAGATACAAACACTGCATGTAATCAGAACAGCATCAGAATTGTGGTCAGTAAGGATCCTCACAGCATACTAGGGGCCTTCTCTGCCTCCCCAGATGACAGCTCAGATGTGAAAACAAAACCGTGGAGTGGTTGCAAGACTTAACCATGGCTTAGAAATTACATGTTTCTTAGCCCAGGAGTAAGGCCTTTGCTTCCAGGGTTTTGCAGGGAATGGCATGATTATATTTTTTGTACTTAGGGAAGCCTAAAACTGTGGCTTGTCACCTCATGCCTTCCAGTCCAGATGCCAATTAGGGGCCATTTTTACCATAAGCAATATTGTCTAATAATATTATTTGATTAGGCTGCCAGGGTCAGAGTGCTAGACTTAACCAAAGGTCTTTTTTTCCTCAGGAAAGACTTTTGTTAACCCTTTACTAACATGTCATAATCCCTTGAAAAAAAATTTTTTTTAAAGATTTTATTTATTTATTTGACAGAGACAGAGATAGCAAGAGCAGGAACACAGCAGGGGGAGTGGCAGAGGGGGAAGCAGCCTTCCCGCCGGACAGGGAGCCTGATGTGGGGCTTGATCCCAGGACCCCGGGATCATGACCTGAGCTGAAGGCAGACGCTTAACCGATTGAGCCACCCAGGCACCCCCCCCCCTTGAAAATTTTTTAACTGTTTCCTTGGTCTATAAAATTTGGTTGTTATTAACTAGAAAAAGTAGAATTCATTTGAAACTCCTTCAATTAAAACCATCTGTAAGACATCTTTTATGCCATAATGCAGTGTCTATCTTTTCAAAATAATTACCTCTTTTTACTTTCTCTCCCTTAGTTAAGAGAAATTTACTGCCTCCTCTAAATATTTCACTCAGCAGTGTGTGTAGTTTTCATTGTACAGATTTTGTACATATTTTGTAAATTTATCCCTATGAATTCAATTTTTTGGATGCTATTGTGAGTGGAATTGTTTTTTGTTTTATCAGTGTTCTTTTTTTAAAGATTTTTATTTATTTATTTGACAGAGAGAGACACAGCGAGAGAGGGAACACAAGCAGGGGGAGTGGGAGAGGGAGAAGCAGGCTCCCCACAGAGCAGGGAGCCCGATATGGGACTCGATCCCAGGACCCTGGGATCATGACCTGAGCTGAAGGCAGTCGCTCAACCAACTGAGCCACCCAGGCGCCCTATCAGTGTTCTTTATGTATAGAAATACAATTGATTTTTTTCATTGTGGTAAAAATAAAATTCACCATTTAAGCCATGTTAAAGGATCTATTTCAGTGGCATTAATATATTTACAGTGTTGTACAACCATCACAACTATCTAATTCCAGAACATTTTTATCACTGTGAAGTGAGACTTGTTTCCAATAAGCAGTCACTCTCAGTGCCACCCTCTTTCCAGCCCCTAGCAACTACTAATTTGCTTTCTGTCTCAGCCTTCATCGAATTGAATGGAGTTCAGGCCTTGCTCTGAATTAGGCTTTGGCTTAAGGGAATGTTGTGGCTTGTTTGATCTTTTTTTATCCAGACCACTAAAACTTTCTGCATATCAACTATAAGGCTGTTTCACTTTCTTATCACTCATGTGTTCGCTGGAGTAGCACCATTTCTTTCAAGAAATTTTCCTTTGCATTTATGTTTGGCTCAAGAGGCCTAACTTTCGGCCTTTCTTGGCTTTTGACATGCCTTTTGTACTGAGCTTAATCATTTCTAGCTTTGGATTTAAAATGAGAGACGTGTGCCTTTTCCTTTAACTTGAATACTTAAAGGCCATTGTAGGGTTATTAAGTGGCCTAATTTCAATATTGCTGTGTCTTAGGGTACAGGGAGGCCTGAGGAGAGGGAGATAGATGGGGGAATGGCCAATGGTAGAGCATTCAGAACACACGCATTTATTAAGTTTGCTGTCTTGTATGGGTGTGGTTTCATGGCACTCCAAAACAATTAAAATGGTAACATCAAAGATCACTGATCACAGATCACCATAACAAAGATAATAATGAAAAAGTTTGAAATATTTCAAAAATTAACACAATATGACAAAGACATGAAGTGAGCAAATGCTATTGGAAAAATGGTGCTGACTACTGGGTATTTACCCCAAAGACACAGATGTAGTGAAAAGAAGGGCCACATGCACCCCAATGTTCATAGCAGCGATGTCCGCAATAGCCAAACTGTGGAAAGAGCTGAGATGCCCTTCAACAGATGAATGGATAAAGAAGATGTGGTCCATATATACAATGGAATATTACTCAGCCATCAGAAAGGATGAATACCCAACTTTTACATCAACATGGATGGGACTGGAGGAGATTATGCTAAGTGAAATAAGTCAAGCAGAGAAAGTCAATTATCATATGGTTTCACTTGTTTGTGGAACATAAGGAATAGCATGGAGGACTTAGGAGAAGGAAGGGAAATATGAAGGGGGGGAATCGGAGGGGGAGACGAACCATGAGAGACTATGGACTCTGAGAAACAAACTGAAGGTTTTAGAGGGGAGGAGGTTGGGGGGATGGGTTAGCCTGGTGATGGGTATTAAGGAGGGCACGTATTATGTATTATATGGAGCACTGGGTGTTATACACAAACAATGAATCATGGAACACTACATCAAAAACTAATGATATACTGTATGGTGACTAACATAACATAATAATAAAAAAAATCGTATCATAACAACAACAACAACAAAAAGGAAAAATGGTGCTGAGAGACTTCCTCCACACAGGGTTGCCACTAACCTTCAATATGTAAAACCCAGAGTATCTGTGAAGCACAATAAAGCAAAGTAATAAAATAAGGTATGTCTGTAATTAAGTCTTCTCTCTTTTTTTTTGTCTCTAGCAAAAGGCTTGTCAATTTTTTAAAATTTTTATTTATTCATGAGAGACAGAGAGAGAGAGAGGCAGAGGGAGAAGCAGGCTCCTTGCAGAGCAGGGAGCCAGATGCGAGACTCGATCCCAGAACCCTGGGATCGTGACCTGAGCCGAAGGCAGATGCTTAACTGACTGAGCCACTCAGGCGCCCATGGCTTGTCAATTTTGTTCATCTTTTTTTTTTAATTTTTAATTTTGTTTTATTTTTATTTTTTTAAAGATTTTATTTATTTGACAGAGACACAGCGAGAGAGGGAACACAAGCAGTGGGAGTGGGAGAAGCAGACTCCCCGCTGAGCAGGGAGTCTGATGCGGGGCTCGATCCCAGGACCCTGGGACCATGACCTGAGCCGAAGGCAGACGCTTAACGACTGAGCCACCCAGGCGCCCCCTTTTAATTTTTTAAATTTTATTTATTTATTTGACAGACACAGCGAGAGAGGGAACACAAGCATGGGGAGTGGGAGAGGGAGAGGCAGGCTTCCCAGCAAGCAGGGAGCCCAATGTGGGGCTCCATCCCAGGACCCCAGGATCACAACCTGAGCCAAAGGCAGACACTTAACCGACTGAGCCACCCAGGCACCCCAATTTTGTTCAGCTTTTTTAAAGAAACCAACTTTCATTTCATTGATTTTCTTTATTGGTTCTCTTTTCTCTATTTTATCTCTAATCTTTATTTCCCTCTTTATGTTGGCGTGGGTTTAGTTTGCTCTTCTTTTTCTAGTTCTTTAAGTTATAAAGTTAGATTGTTGATTTGAGATCTTCTTTCTTAATGTAAGCTTTTACAGGTCAATAACTTTCCTCCTTAGCATTGCTTTCACTGTGTCCTATGAGTTTTGGTAGGTTGTATTTTTGTTTTCATTCCTCTCTAAGTATTTTCTAATTTTCCTTATTTCTTTTTTCTTTTTTTAAGATTTTATTTATTTATTTGACAGGAGAGAGACAGCGAGTGAGGGAATACGAGCAGGGGGAATGGAAGAGGGAGAAGCAGGCTTCCCGGTGAGCAGGGACCCCGATGCGGGGCTCAATCCCAGGACCCTGGGATCATGACCTGAGCCGAAGGTAGATGCTTAATGACTGAGCCACCCAGGCGCCCCTTATGATTTCTTTTTTAAACCATTGGTTATTTCAGAGTATGTTGTTAATTTCTAAAATTTTTTGAATTTTCTAGTTTTACTTTCTGTTGTTGGTTTCTAACTTTGTCATGTTGTGGTTGGAAAAGTTACTTTGATATCTGTCTTAAAAAATGAACTTGGGGCACCTGGGTGGCACAGTCGGTTAAGCATCCGACTCTTGGTTTTGGCTCAGGTCATGATCTCAGGGTCGTGAGATTGAGCCCCATGTTAGGCTCTGCGCTCAGCGTCAGGCTCTGTGCTCAGCATAGAGTCTGCTTAGGTTTCTCTCTCTCCCTCTTCCTCTGCCCTTTCCCCCTGCTCTCTTTCTTTCTCTCAAATAAGTAATTCTTTAAAAAAAATGAACTTTAATTCTTACCTGTGCCATATACAAATAGTATTTCAAGATAGATTATAGACCTACATGAAAAATTTTAAACTATGAAACTTCCAGAAAATACAAAAAAAATCTTTGTGAACTTAGGCAATTGTTTGGTGTTATAACACCAAAAGCATGGCCCATAAAAGAAAAAAATGATAAATTGGACCTAATCAAAATTAAAACTTCTGTTCTTTGAAAATCACTGTTTAGAAAAAGGAAAGAAGACACAAACAAATAACCTTTGCAAAGCATATATGTACTAGAGGACTTGTATCCAGAATATATAAAGGGCTCTTAAAGGTTAATAATAAGAAAACAAACAACTCAATTAAAAAATAGGCAAAAATTTGAATAGACACTTCACCAGAGTAGACTTACAGACAACACATAAGCTTATAGAAAAATGCTCAACATCATTAGTTATTAGGGATATGCATATTACCATAGTGAGACCCTACTAGAATAACTAAAGTTAAAAAGAACATACCAAATATTGATGAGGATGTAGAGGGACATTTCTTTGGGAAATAGTTTGGCAATTTTCTCAAAAAGTTAAACCTACCATATGATCCAGCCATTTCCACTTTTAGCTATTCAAGAGAAAAGAATGTGTGTGTATATATATACACGAAGACTTCTGCATGAAAGTTCATAGTAGCTTTATTTGTAATAGCTAAAACTAGAAAACAGTCAACATGTATAGATGAACTGTGGTGTATCTTCACATGGAATAATATTCAGCAATAAAAGGAAAGAACTTGTTATATGCAAAAACATGGACAAATCTCAAAATAATTATGCTAAATGAAAGAAGCTAAACAAAGAGCATGTACTTACGATTCCATTTACATAAATCTCTAGAAAATTCAAACTGATCTGTAGTGACAGAAAACTGATCAGTAGTTGCTTGGGGATATTGAGGGGGACGCTAAGGAGAGGTAGGTGGGTAATGACAAAGGTGTATGAGGAAACTTAGGGATGATGGATATATTCACTATCTTGATGTAAATCTACCTTCAAGTAACTTATTGCTTAGTTGAAGAGACCACATAAACACTTCAGAAATTTAATAAATAGTGAAATAGTAATATATTTTTTTCCTCTTTCCCCCCTCCAGGTTCCTGTTGCATGTAAATCTTGTCCCTGTGGTTATGTATTTATTAATAGGAAACTTCTAAAAGTAAAACACTCAGAGAAATCATCACCTTTTACAGGTAATTGAGAGAGTACCACCTTTCTGTTTTTTTATGGTTTCCATTATATAAAGTTAAAATTAATTTTTTGTGAGTTAAATTTTTGCTGATGAATTGTAGTACTAAAATCTATTGAAGTGTATCTTTGGTTTTTACTGGGTACAATAAGTCATTTACGTTGATCTTTATCCAATTTAAATGTTAACTCCTTTACTGATAAATTTTGTAACAAATTTTAAGGAGAAATTTTAATTAGAAAATGTTAATTGGAAGAAAGGGAACCTCGATTTTAGTATTATAATTTTTTAAGTACCAGTTATTTTTTTTGATTCACTGATTTAGACTATCTAAAAAATTGCCCACTTCAACTTTGAGTTTCTAGCTTTATTCCTATTTTTTCCTATGATAAAATCACATGTTGTAACAGTAGTCAACCCTAAATGGTAGTAGTTTTATTACAAACAATTACTGAGGGCCTAACATATGCCAGGTACTATGTATCTTGGGCATACAGCAATAAATCTACTTCCAAGACAGGTTCAGTACTGTCATAGTGGTTGAAGACATATGCATAGGAATACACATACGGGATATACAGGGAAAATAGCAGCTAGTAATAAGTGCTGGGTAGGAAATTAAAATAGGATACTGTCCTATAGGTTAACTGGAAGGCTCCTTTTGATTGAGTGGTCCAGGGAATGCGTCTTTGAGGAGGAGATATTTTATAAGTTATGAATGGATGAAGGGGCTAGACATACGAAAACCAGGGAAAGTAAATTCTAGGCACAGGGAATTTGAAGAGTACTTTTTTTAACTTGAAGAAGTATATATCTTAGCATTAAAGCTAGTATCTTATTTAAATGGGGAAATGCTACAGGCATTTCCATTCATATTAGGAACAAGGCAAGCATCCTCTCTATCTTCACTACTATTCAGCATTATGTTAGAGGTAAATTAGCCAAGGCAATTAGATAAGAGAAATCAGTAAGAGGCATAAAAATGGGTAAAGAACAGTAGAACAATATCTCTTTGCAGATCATGTATAGCTGGACTCCAGAGAATTAATAATAAAACTAACTCATACAGTAAAAGAATTGAGTGAAGTATCAGGATTTAAAATTAACATACAAAAATCAGCTTTCATATATAGAAATAGCTTATACTGAACATAATGTTAGAGAAAAGCCCATTTACAATAGCAACATGGAGGGTTAAATGTTTAGGAATAAATTTAATAAGAATGGCCTAAAACCTATACAAGGAAAATTTTAAACACTCCTAAAAGACACTAAAGCAGATGTAAGCAAATGGTAAAGCATCCCTTGTTCTTGAATAGGATGATTCAACATAAAGATGTTAATCCTCCCAAGTTAATTTGTAAAATCAATGCAATTTTAATAAAAATCCTAACAGCTTGTTTAATTGAGTCAGACAAGCTGATTTTAAGGTTCATATGGAAAAATAAACATGCAAAAATAGCCGGAAAAGTTGTCAATTGACTTTTAGTGAAGGTCTAAGGAAATTAAATGGGAAAGAATAGTCTTTTCAACAAATGGTATTGGGATACCGTGCTGGATATGCAAAAGAATGAAGTTGGGACCCTATCTCATGCCATACATAAAAATTAATTCAAAATATGGGGTGCCTGGGTGGCTCAGTTGGTTAAGCATCCAAGTCTTGATTTCGGGTCAGGTCATGATATCAGGGTTGTGGGATCAAGCCCCGTGTTGGGCTCAACATGGAGTCTGCTTCTTCCTCTTCCTCTGCTCCTCCCCTGGCTCATGCACTCCCTCTCACTCTATATCTCTAAGATAAATTTTTTAAAAATCTTAAAAAAATTAATTCAACATAGATCATAAACCTAAGTGTAAGAGCTAATAAAACTATAAAACTCCTAGAGGAAAGCGTAACAGTAAATCTTAGTTACTTTGGGTTAGGCAATGTTTTCTTAAATATGACACCCAAAGCTCAAATGACATAAATAAATAAGTAAATAAATAAATAGGGCTATATCAAAATTTAAAACTTTTTTTTTTTTTTTTGCTGCAGATGATATCAAGACAACTCACAGAATGGGAAAAATATTTGCAAATCACATATCTGATAAGGGACCTTGTATCCCTAATATATAAAGAACTCTTACTCCTCAATGATAAAAAGAGAAATAACCCAATTTAAAAATTGGGCAGAGGATTTGAGTGGAATTTGTCCAAAGAAGGTATGCAAATGACCAGTAAGTACACCAAAAGATGTTCAACGTTATTAGTCATTAGGGAAGTGCAGATCAAAATAATGAGATACTACTTCACACCACTAAGGTGCAATAATAAGAGAAAATAACAAGTATTGGTGAAGAAGTGGAAAAGTTGAAACCCTCATATGCTGCTATTAGGAGTGTAAAATGGTGCAGACACTTTCAAAACAATCTGCCAGTTCCTCAGATGATTAAATATAGAATTATAATATGATCCACAATTCTACTCTAGGTATAAATTCAAGACAGTTGAACACAGAAGTGGACACAAAAACTTACACATGAATGTTATTAGCAGCATTATTCTAATAGCTAAAAAGTGGAAACAGTCCTGATATCCATCAACTGATGATAATATTATTTGACACTAAAAAGAAAGGAAGTATTGATATATGCTACAAAATGAATGACTCTTGAAAATGTGCTATGTGCAAGAAGCCAGTCACAAAAGATCACATACTTTATGATTCCAATTATAGAAAATGTCCACATAGGCAAATTTATAGATAATAAATAGATTAATGGTTTAGGGCTTGGAAAGGGATGGGGGGAGAGTGGGAAACAGTTGTTAATGGGTACAGAGTTTCTTTTATAGAAAAATGTCCTAAAACTGGATTCACAATCCTGTGAGTGTACTAAAAACCACCAAATTGTACGTTTTAAATGGGTAAATTGTATGGGATGTGAATTATATCTCAATAAAACTGATTGTATTTTATTTATTTTTAAAGATTTATTTATTTATTTTAGAGAGAGAACATGAGCAGGAGGGACAGAGGGAGTGGGAGAGAGAATCTCAAGCATACTCCACGCTGATCATGGAGCCTGACTTGGGGTTTGATCTCAGGACCCTGAGATCATGACCTGAGCCGAAACCAAGAGTTGAATGCTTAACCAGCTGTGCCACCCGGGTGCCCCAATAAAACTGATTTTAGAAATAGCCAGGAAAATACTGAAAAAGAGAAACTATCAGGGTTGGATAGCCCTACCAGTCATTAAAATATATTATAAAGCCTCTGGGGTGCCTGGCTGGTTCAGTCGGTAGAGCATGCAACTTTTGATTTCAGGGTTGTGAGTTCAAGCCCCACATTGTATGTGGAACCTACTTAATTAAAAGAAAAAAAAAAGTATATATATATATGATAAAGCCTCTATAATTAAAACACTGTGGCATTGGCAGGGACAAATAGACCAGTGGAAAAGAATAAACAGTGCAGAATTAGACCCAAATTCATACGGAAAGTTAATATATGACAAAGGTGGTATTTCAGATCACTAGGGTAAAGTTAGACCTTTTTTTATTGTGGTAAAATATATATAAATAACATTTATCATTTTAACCATTTGTAAGTGTACAATTCAGTGGCATTAAAAACATTCACAATACTGTGTCTCCATCATTGGTATTTTACTTAAAACTTTATCATCCCCAACATAAACCCTGTACCCATTAAGCAATCTCTTCCTCCCCACCCCTGCCCTGCCCCCAAACACCTCCCCACAATCCCTGGCAATCATTCCTTCGTATCTCTGTAAATGTGCCTATCTATTCCAGGCACCTCATATATAAGTGGGACCATACAATATTTGTCCTGTGTCTGGCTTACTTTATTAAGCATAATGTTTTCAAGGTCTACTCATATTGTAGCATATATCAAAATTTCATTACTTTTTATGTCTGAATAATTACCATTTTAGGTGTATGCCACATTTTTTAATCCATTCATCTGCTAATGGGCAACAACTAGGGTTGTTGTAATGAACATTGGTGTATAGATATTTGTTCAGACCCCTGGTGTCAGTTCTTTTGGATATATACCTAGGAGCAGAATTGCTGGGTCATATGATAGTTCTGTGTTTAACCTTTTGAGGAAATGACAAACTGTTTTCCATAGTGGTTGTGCTGTTTTACATTCCCACAAGCAATGCACAGGGGTTCCAATATCTCATATTCCTACCAAAATTTGTTAGATTTTCCTTTTTTTTTTTTTTTTTTTTCAGAGAGAAAGTGTGTAAGCAGGGGTTGGAGGAGGTGGGGGAGGGCAGAGAGAGAGAATCTTAAGCAGGCTCCATGCTCAGCAAGGAGCCTGTCGCGGGGGTCCGTCTCATGACCCTGAGATCATGACCTGAGCCAAAAATCAAGAGTCAGATGCTTAACAGACTGAGCCACCCAGGTGCCCCCGATTTTTTTTTTTATTGCCACCCTCGTAGGTGTAAACTGTTATCTTACTTGACATGCATTTCCCTAAAGACTAACAGTGTTAAGCATCTTTTCATGGGCTTATTGGCCATTTGTATATCTTCTCTGGAGAAATGTCTATTCAACTCCTTTGCCCATTTTTAATTGTGTTGTTTTGGTTGTTTGTTAAGCTGTAGAAGCACTTTATATATTTTCAGTATTAATCCCTTGTCAGAAGTATGATTTGCAAGTATTTTTTTGCCATTCTGTAGGTTGTCCTTTCACTTTTTTTTTTAAAGCTTTTATTTATTTGTCAGAGAGCACAAGCAGGGGAACGGCAGGCAGAAGCAGAGGGAGAAACAGGCTCCCCACTGAGCAGAGAGCCTGACATGGGACTCGATCCCAGGACCCTGGGATAATGACCTGAGCTGAAGGCAGATGCTTAACCGGACTGAGCCACCAGGAGTCCCTTTCCTTTCACTTTCTTGATAGTGTTCTTTAATGCACAAATTTCTTAATTTTGATGAGGTCCAACTTATCTATTTTTTCTTTGATTTTTATTGTTAATTGTGTTAACATACAAAAATATGAAATTTGCCATCTTTAGCCATTTTCAAATATATAGTTCAGTAGTGTTAAGTAGTTTCACATCTTTGCTATCAATCTCCAGAACTTTTTTGTCTCCCGAAACAAACTCTATAGCCTTAAACAACTCCCATTCCTTCCTTCCCGCTGACCCCTGTTAACCTCTATTCTACATTCTGTCTCTAAGAATAGGACTATTCTAGGTATGTCATTTAAGTGGAATCATATAGTATTTGTCTTTTTGTGACCAGGTTATTTTACTTAGCATCATGTCTTCATGGTTCATGTATGTTGTAACATGTGTCAGAATTTCTTTTCAAGGCTGAATAATATTCTGTTGTATGTAATTACTATGTTTTGTTTATGCATTTATTGGTTGATGGACACTTGGGTTGTTTCTACCTTTTGGCCTCTTGTGAATAATGATGCTATGAATGTGGGTGTATAAATACCTCTTTGAGACTCTGTTTTTAGATCTTTTGGATATATTCTCAGAAGTAGAATTATTGGATCATATGGTAATTCTATTTTTAATTTTTTTGAGAAACTAACATAATTGTTTTCCATAGAGGCTTGCACCAATTGTGCCCAAGGGTTTCAATTTCTCTTTATCTTTGCTAATACTTGTTTTCTCTCGTTAGTAGCTATCCTAATGGGTGTGAGTTGATAATCTCACTGTGGTTTTGATTTGCATTTCCCTAATGATTAATGATGTTGAGCATCTTTTTAAATCCTTGTTGTCTTTGTGTATATTTTTGCTGGAGAAACAGTTATAGAAGTCCTTTGCTCATTTTAAAATCAGGCTATTTGTATTTTTTTGTTGAGTTGTAGGAGTTCTTTATATGTTCTGGATATTTATGCCTTATCAGATAATGTGATTTGCAAATATTCCGTTCTGTAGGTTGCCTTTCCTTTGCACAAAAGTTTTAAATTTTGATGTAGTCCAGTTTACCTGTTTTTTTTGTTTTTTTTTTTACTTTTGTTGTTATATTCATTAAATTGTTGCCAAATCCCAATGCCATCAAGATTTTCCTCAATGTTCTCTTTAAGACTTTTGTAATTTTAGTTTTTACAATTAGGTCTCTGATCCATTTTTTTTTTTTTTTTAAGATTTTATTGATTTATTTGACAGAGACATGCGAGAGAGGGAACACAAGCAGGGGGAGTAGAAGAGGGAGAAGCAGGCTTCCTGCAGAGCAGCGAGCCTGATGCGGGGCTTGATCCCAGGACCCTGGGACCATGACCTGAGCCGAAGGCAGACGCTTAATGAGTGAGCCACCCAGTGCCCCTCTGATCCATTTTTGAATTAATTTTTGTATATGGTATAGGTTATGGTCCAACTTCACACTGCGTGCAGATACACGGTTTTCTCAGTACCATTTGTTGAGAAACCATGCTTTCCCATAATGGTCTTGACACCCTTGTCGAAAATCAGTTGACCATATGTGTGAGGGTTTATTTCTGGGCTTTCTATTCCATTGGTCTTGTTTGTTCTTATGCCCATACCATATTGTTTTAATTATTGTGGCTTTGTAGTAAGTTTCAAAGTTAGGAAGTGTGAGTTCTCCAACTTCATTCTTTTTCAAGATTATTTTGCAAATTAAAATAATACCTATCAATGGCAAAAATTTAAAAATATGACAGTGTACTTTGTTGGTGAAGCTGTGGAGAAATGGGCACTCTCGTACATTGCTGGTGAGAATGTGAGTTGTTATAGCCCTTCCAAAGGGAAATTTGGCAATACTTAAAAATACTACATATGTATTTATTTACTTTTTGACCCAGCAAGACCATTTCTGGGACTCTACTGTTAAGATATACCTCCAACAATATAAAAATACATATATCACTACAGCAATGTAATGCAATGTAACTGGAAAATATTGGAAACAGTCTAAATGCCCATACATAGCAAAGTGATTAAAATGGTAAATCCATTCAGTGAAGTAATGGAGCTGTAAAAAAAAAAAAAAGTGGTCTGTATCAACTGATATGGAGTGTTTCTGAGATAATATACTGTTAAATGACAAAAGTAAAGCACAGGAGTAGCTATAGTATATGGTCTTTTGTGTAAGAAAGCGATATAAGACAGTACACGTGTATCTGCTTATTTTTGTAGAATCAATACTGGAAGGATACACTGGAAACTAAAGTGATTATTGGTAACCTATAGGGGGTAGGTGGGAAATGGGTGCAAAAAAGTGAGGATATTGGAACTCTGGGTATCAGGAATGAGGAAGGAATGACATTAGAGGGGATGGGGAAGAAAAGAACTTTATTCCAAGTTGTTTTGGAAAATAACATCTTGACTGTACTGTTATGGTAAAGATAAAAAGAACTGACCAGGTTATTTTGGTAAAGATATGGTAAAGATAAAAAGAACTGCACATTAATGCTGTAATACAGCATTTGTAATATAGTCAGTAAATAAAATATATTTGTCACAAGGGCATAGATTTACAGTTCTGAAACTGCCTTATGTATGTACTCAAATTGAACAAATAGGTAAATATGTTTGGACAACAAAAACTGGATTTCTAACAAATAAAGAAAGGAGAAGGCTAAAATGAACTCTGGCGGGTTGGTTTTGGAGTTTGAGATATCAGTATATGTATCGGGTTACTTTGCATATGTTTCCTAGCTGTGTCTACTGAGAGTGACTAAAAGGTATGATACCCCAGCAGTAATGAACAAACCTAGGATCCAGTTTGATTCCAGGACTGAGACAGAAAATACTAAAGGTGCCTGGAACACCTTGATGTGTGCCAGATAACAAAGTGCTTAAAAAAAAAGATTGGGGGTGGCGCCTGGGTGGTGCAGTCGGTTAAGCGTCTGCCTTCAGCTCAGGTCATGATCCCAGGGTCCTGGGATCGAGCCCCGTATCGGGCTCCCTGCTCCATGGGAAGCCTGCTTCTCCCTTTCCCACTCCCCCTGCTTGTGTTCCCTCTCTCGCTGTGGCTGTCTCTGTCAAAAAAAAAAAAAAAAAAAAAAAAAAAAATCTTAAAAAAAGATGGGGGGATAGTGTTTGAAAGAACATGGGAGCCAAACTAAAAGAGTTCTAATGGCCAAAGCTGGAGCAATTTGAGCAAAAGAAATAATGAAATCATTGGATTATAATCCATAGAATAATAAAGTAAATATCCATGAGTCCATACTGATAGAGACATAAAAAGGGGAAATGAACAGTTCTCACTTATAGTAGAATTCCAGTTAATAACTGTGGAAGGATGGATGGATTGAGGGAAGTAGAAAATAAGCATTAGCTAAACACAGTAATAATTGTTGCAGACAACATCCACCAATTGATTATAAAATTAGTGAGTGAAAATTTGAGAAGTAAAATTTTTAAAGATTAAAAGTATGTCCCCCAAGATCTTCATTAATCACAAAGGGAAATATAGTAACTTTACTGGGATGAAACCTGCCAAAATTTATCTTAATCAGTGATCAAGGTGCACATCACAATAATAAAACATATTCACATCTTGAGACCCATGATAGAGAAAGGATACATCATTTCTTTGTATTCTTGCCAGAAATGTATAACCTTAGTCCAATCATCAGAAAACATCAGCCAAACCCAAATGAGATATATTTGACAAGGTAAAGCAATCGGTACTCTGAGAGTCAAGGACATGAAAAATAGGGAAGCCCAAGGCATCGTCAGAGATTGGAGGAATCTAAGAAGATGTGACGACTAAATATAATGTGGGAGTTTTTTTCTTTGACAATGGCCTGTTCTTGCCAAATGAAATCTGTTTTCTTTGTTTTCTCTTTGAATATTAAAGGCATGTTTTAAAATATCTTATTTTGTCTTAAAATGTCTGTTTCAGATTGTTCCATTATTTGTATGTAGTTCTGAGATATGAATTCTATTCACGTGTCCCTTTACCACTGTGCTTTTTTTTTTGACTGTTTCCCACTTTTTTGCACTTGGGAAATTCTCTTTTGCTTTTGGATTTAGCTCTGTATTAAAACAAGTTTTGTTTTTCGGTTATATCTCAACTAGCATGTTGGAAGTGGAAGAGGTGACTTCTTGCATTAATTAAATCTACTATATTGATGGGAAACCTCTCCCCTATTCCTATTCCATTTACAAACAATAGGGTAATTACATTCAGTGTATTAGGGGCTAAAATAAAGCTACTCACTTTCCTACTATTTATCTTACACTTGCAGTATATGTTTTTGTTTGTTTTTTGGTAACAGTATATTATAGTTAAGGTCAGAATTTTTTTTCTGCTTTCGTAATAGAAGATTATCAACTTATTTGAAATAATTTAGAACTCCAATGATGGTAGAAAGGAATAGAAACCTTTTCCCTTTCCACTTTACTATCTTGGAAGCATAGGGGAGGAAAAAGGCAGACAAGTTACTATTGGAGGAATATATACTTATAAGGGGCTGGAATTAAATTTAGCTGCTGAAAAGAAAAACTTCCCCCTTCCTACCCCAAGGTTATCAACCCATTATGGGAGCATTTTTTTCCAAGCATTAAATTGATCTGAGATCTTAATTTGATAGTGCTGAAAAAATTGTGTGGCAGGCATTGAGTTTGTAGATTTAAAAGCACAACTCATATTTTAGTTCAAAAGTATTTCTTTTATGGTAATGCTTATAAAATCACTGGAAATTGTATTCCTGCTGTAAAGTCATCGCCTGATATAAACTGATGGCAGCAGAACACAGTGATAAAAACATGTATCCTCCAGATTAAATTGCTGATATTTGACTAGTTGAAACTTGACCATGATTGATAAAGTTGATATCAGGTCTATTTTCAGTTGTGTGTAGTATTCATAATGATACTATGGTCTTCAGTTTCCTTTGATGGTTGAATTTTTATTATTTATTTCTTCCACAGAAGTGAACAGTACCATATCTTTGAAAGATTTGAGAATACTATTTTTATATGAATTTAAACTAGGACATAGTGCAGCCACAGCAAGTAGAAACATCAATTCTGTCTTTGGAAAAGGCTCTGTTAGTGAAAGGACTATCCGGTGGTGGTTTGAAAAATTTCGTTCTGGGGATCTGAGTCTGAAAAATGAGCCTCGAGGGAGACCCAAATCTGTTTTAAATGAAGATCAGTTGAGAGCCATGGTGGAAGCTAACCCCAAAACAGCAATTCGAGGCCTTGCAGCAGACTTAGGAGTTTCTGCTACAACAATTTCTCGACACCTGGCTGCAATAGGAAAGGTGAAAAAGTTGGACAAGTGGGTAGGTAACACCAACTGATGGATAATCATAAACTGAGATATTTAGAGATGTGCTTATTCCTGAAGATTTAAAAGAGCAGAGACCTATTTTGGAGAATATCGTAAGCTTTGACAAAAAAGGAAAGTGGTCTGGACAATGGTTGGATGTTGAAGAAGTTCCCAAACGTGTTAAAACCATCATTGCAACCAAAAAGAAGGTTCTGGTAACTGTATGGTGGTCTGCAAAGAGAATATTTCATTCCTTTTAACTCAGGCAAAACAGTAGCATCTTATTGTCAAGAAGTTGAAATTATGTATCAAAAATGGATCTAAAAGCACTCTGCATTGGTTAGCAGACATGGATGGACATACACTTTTACATGACAACATTTGATCACTGAAATCCCAGACCACCATAGGGAATGACTGCATTGGGCCAAGAACTTTTGCCATATCCATCACACTCATCTGACCTTTTTTCAACAGATTAGCACTCTGTCATCATTTGGAACTCTAAGAAACAGAACATTCTCTAATAGAGAACAGTAATTGAAGGATTTGAATAAATTTTAACAATGCTGAATTTTACAAATATATAGTATTTGGAGAAATTTATCATTGGGGGAAAGCAGTTAATGCTAACAGTGCATATTTTGGTTGAATAAAACTTTTCTTTTCCTGAAAATTACAACATTTTCATTTTTATATAAAGGCAGTTTCATATGGCTCAACCTGATAACCTTCCCAGATCCTGGCAGAACATGAAGACTCTAAGATATGTAATGTACTGGAAAACTACAAGCTGCCCCTGAATTTTGGGCTTCTTCATTGGAGGAATGTGGAACAACCCAGAGTGTAGGTATGTGTGAAAGATGCTTAGGACTCAGTCATGCAAAAATCCAGGTATAGAGGGTTTTAGGGAGATGAGCAACCTCATCAAAAGCTCTCAGGCTCTCAGAAAATATTTTTTGAATAAAGAAATCATGTTTCTAACACAAAAGCCATGCACATGGTAGACATGCATGGCACAGTGGTGCTTTTGAGTGATGATACTTATTCTGTCACACAAAGCCAGTCCCTTCTTTCATGTGTTTTCCACTCTGATTCTTTATTTTAAGAAAAATGTAAGTGGCCTATCAGATCATAATTAATGGCCTCTTTATGATTGTGTAGCTAGATTGCAGTTACTCCTTCTGGCATCCAGGGATTAAGTTGGGGTAAAGATACTGGGATGGTCCTCTTCCTGCCTCTCTCCCTCCTGGTGATCTGCTGTGTCTAATCTGTGAAGGAGAATTAAGGAATCCTAAAAGCTAAGAGGTGAGAGAAGGACATCTGGAATGGATCTTACCTGGAGAGAGAGAGGGGGGAGGGGGGAAGGCGAGGAATGGAGGGAAAGCTGGAATGGAAATCCCCTAAAGTAGAATTTGACTATGAGCCAAAGATTTAAAGACCATGGGATGCATTACTGCAAATTAAAAAAAAAAAAAATGTCCCTTCCTTTGAGTAGAAGCAGCCCAGTACTATGACACAAGATTTGTAAGCAGTGTCTTTCAGTTCTAATTTACTCCCCTGGCTGGGTGCCCTGGTCTGGAGTCCCCTGCTCATTTTACTGCTCCATCCTTGGGTTGTCAAGGAATCTATTCAGTGTTTTTTTGGACTCCTGCTTACTCTCAAGAATGAAGCCTGAGATTTAGGGTATAGGATGAAGAATGAAGCCTGAGATTTAGATAGGGTAACAAGGCTAAAACCAGAAGTGTGGGAAGGACTTTATATGAAAGGCAGCAAGCACAAGGGTGAAGTCAAATGGTCACAGAGGACCAATGTGAAAGAAAGTGGTATTGTATAGTTACTTAGTCTGGGTAGTAGTTGCTTTATGGCCATCCATCCTTCCCTCAATTCTCAGACCCCTTGTCAGACTTCCCAAGCTGGATGCTGGACTTTGGTCTAAAACAGCAGATCTGTTCAGCCCAAATGAGTGGTTTCTTCCAAAAAGAACCAGTGAAATGTGATGAGACGGGAAAGGAGCAGTTACAGGATGTTGAGTTATCCCATCAATCATCCTTACCACCTCCAACAAGGGGTGTAGATTTGAGAGGCAGAAATGGACCCTGTAGTTCTTGTGAGCAAGCATATGGATTGAGTTGTGCCTGTACTACTATTAGTGTGTATTGGTTATGTGAGATAGTAAATACCCTTTTTGCTTAAGCCATTTTGGAGAGCTAGGCTTTCCATTTTGGCAAAAGAAAGATTCCTGACTGATAGATACCATCCCTGAGTCTTACTTTACTTAACTATGAAATGAAATTCATGATACTACCTTGCAGGGCTTGGGGAGGAAGAGGGACAGTTAATGTAAAGCACAGGCACAGAGTAGATGCCCAATAGATATGATTTAATACCATGAAAAGTAGGAGCAAACAAGGCAAAGTAAGGTGTGTGGGATACCTCTGGAGGCCCCTCTGTGTCCAGGGCAGGCCAGTTGAGCTACGTTCAGTGCTCAGTGAAGGCTGGTGCCTGCCTTGGACTGTCTAGAGGTTTGCAGCTGTAAAAGAGGGCTGACTTCTTCAGTCATTGTGAGCCTATGGCTTTTCTGCAGTAAGTGCTCCCTGACCCAGGGCATTATTGGCCCCATAGGAACAAAAGAAAAGCTCTCTTTCAGGACAAAGAGAGGCTTCTCTTTCTTTGTCTTTACTTTGGCTTTTTTTTTTTTTAAGATTTTATTTTTAAGTAATTTCTACACCCAGTGTGGGGTTTGAACTCACAGCCCCAAGATCAAGAGTTGCACACTTTCACGGACTGAGCCAGCCAGGCGCCCCATGGCAGTTATTTGTATCTTTTTAAAAATCATTCCTTTTTGAAAATATGGAGTATAAATATGGAGTCAACAGACTCAACATGGAATGATGACATTTTCATCATGATGATGATCATCTTTCCATTACCTTGGAAAAGTAGGAACTGTAGCTTTTTTTTTTTTAATTATAGTTCAGTTTTTATTTATTTATTTGAGAGAGAGAGAGAGAATAAGAGAGAGAGAGAGCATGGGGGGGAGGGTCAGAGGGAGAAGCAGACTCCCCGCCGAGCAGGGAGCCTGATGCGGGACTCGATCCCGGGACTCCAGGATCATGACCTGAGCCGAAGGCAGTCGCTTAACCAACTGAGCCACCCAGGCGCCCGGAACTGTAGCTTTAAATTTGTAAGTATTTAGGAGCTATATTGGATTTTCAGGAAAAATGATAAATTTTATACACACCAAGCATCTGCCAAGCATCCTAGTACTCTTATTCTCCTTTCCCAGAAAAGAAAACAAAGCTTTAAAAAGCTCCTTGGTTGAGTATCAAAAGAAAGAAAGAAAGTGGAGGTAGAGGTTGCTACATCTCATCTCCCCACCATGTCCCTGAGGTAGCTTGGGTCCTGATTACAAAAGGGAGTAAGAAGTGGCTTTGAGGGGTGCCTGGGTGGCTCAGTCAGTAAAGCATGCAACTCTTGATCTTGGAGTAATGAGTTAGAGCCCCATGTTGGGGGTAGAGTTTACTTAAAAACAAACAAAAAACAAAAGTAGCTTTGAATTTTGGTTTATTATGTACATAATAGCTGTTATTAAAGAAGCTCCTGCCTTGGTCTAATTGCTTACAGTGAGACTAGAGCACCTACAGCCACTTTTTTGTTTGTTTGTTTTTCATGGCTTATGGTATTAAAAGTACAATTGATTGCACACTGAAATATGCAGGGACCTCTGGATAAATCAACTAGTTAGCAAATTCAATATTTTCAGACAGGGCAATTTTTTTTTAATTATGTTAGTCACCATACAGTACATCATTAGTTTTTGTTGTAGTGTTCCATGATTCATTGTTTGCGTATTAATACCCAGTGCTCCGTGCAGTACGTGCCCTCCTTAATACCCATCACCGGGCTAACCCATCCCCCACCCCCTCCCCTCTAGAACCCTCAGTTTGTTTCTCAGAGTCCATAGTCTCTCATGGTTCGTCTCCCCCTCTGATTTCCCCCCCTTCATATTTCCCTTCCTTCTCCTAATGTCCTCCATGCTATTCCTTAGGTTCCACAAATAAGTGAAACCATATGATAATTGACTTTCTCTGCTTGACTTATTTCACTTAGTATAATTTCTTCCAGTCCCATCCATGTTGATGCAAATGGTGGGTATTCATCCTTTCTGATGGCTGAGTAATATTCCATTGTATATATGGACCACATCTTTATCCATTCATCTGTTGAAGGGCATCTCAGGTCTTTCCACAGTTTGGCTATTGTGGACATCGCTGCTATGAACATTGGGGTGCATGTGGCCCTTCTTTTCACTACATCTGTGTCTTTGGGGTAAATACCCAGAAGTGCAATTGCTGGGTCATAGGGTAGCTCTATTTTTAATTTTTTGAGGAACCTCCACACTGTTTTCCAAAGTGGCTGTACCAACTTGCATTCCCAACAGTGTAAGAGGGTTCCTCTTTCTCCACAACCTCTCCAACATTTGTTGTTTCTTGCCTACCTACAGCCACTTTAACAGTATGCATGAAAGATCTTGGGTGAAGTTAGAGAAAGCATCAAAAGCCAATGGAAAGTGGACTCTTCTAGGACCTGTCAGTATGTTGGACTCTCTATTCCTCTTTCTGTTGGTGCTTTGGCCACAGTAGCCTCCTTTCACTTCCTTTGACCTCAGCTAATTTGTTTGTGCTGCTACTGCTCTTCACGTCGTTACCTCTACCTGTCACACACATTTCCTCCAGGACATCTTAACCTGATTACCCCACCCCACCATCGGTCAGGTCCCCTTGTCATGGCCTTAGGACCCCAGTATGGTTCCTTCATAATTGTGATCACATGTGTTTGTGTGATAGTATGTGTTTGTCATCTTCTCTGCTAGATTATAAAATTCACAACAGCAGGGACGTTTTTGCTCACAAGATCATACCTGCATTGAGAGCACAAGGTCCAGCACATGGTAGATACCTAGTAAATGTTTGTTAAATGAATGAATAAGTGTTAGGGCCAGTCTCATCCACTTTGTAGAAAACCCTTGTTTTGGTATCAGTGTAAGTAAGGAATATGTTGATAGCAAATAATTGAAAACCTAATGAACAGTGGCTTAAATAAGTAGGTTTTGGGGGCTCCTGGGTGGCTCAGTCCTTAAGTGTCTGCCTTCGGCTCAGGTCATGATCCCAGGGTCCTGGGATCGAGCCCCACATCGGGCTCCTTGCTCCGCGGGAAGCCTGCTTCTCCCTCTCCCACTCCCCCTGCTTGTGTTCCTGCTCTTGCTGTGTCTCTGTCAGGAAAATAAATAAAATCTTAAAAAAAAAGAGAAAATTTTCAAACATACAAAATACCTGAATTTTACAGTGAACACCTGTATGCCAACCACCTAGATTATACCATTGACATTTTACTATACTTTATCACTTAGCTACTCATGTAGCTATCCTTTTTTTTTTTTTTTTAATGCATTTCAATGTAAAGTAGCAGGCATTAGCACATTTCACCCTAAATACTTCAGCATACCTGTCATTACCTGGAGTTCAATATTGTCTTAAGGTTCTTTTTTTTTTTTTTTTTAAGATTTTATTTATTTATTTGAGAGAGAGAGAATGAGAAGGAGGAAGGTCAGAGGGAGAAGCAGACTCCCTGCTGAGCAGGGAGCCCAATGCGGGACTCAATCCCGGGACTCCAGGATCATGACCTGAGCCGAAGGCAGTCGCTTAACCAACTGAGCCACCCAGGCGCCCTTGGCTTAAGGTTCTTGTTCTTGTAAATTTAAATTCGATAAAATGCCCAAATCTTAATTGTACTATTCAGTATGTTTTAATAAATGCAAACATTTATGTAACACAAACCCCTATGAAGGTACAGAAAGTTCTCTCATACCTTTTCATTTTATCCCCACTCCTACCCCTAGAGGCAAGCACTGCTCTGATTTTTTTCTACCATGGAATAGTTATGCCTGTTCTAGAACTACACATAAATACAGTATGTGCTCTTTTGTGTAAGGCTTCTTTTACTAAGCATAGTGTTTTTGAAATTAATCCATTTTGTTGCATGTATCAATATTTCATTCCTTTTAAAAGCTGATTAGTTTTCCATGAAATGAATATAACAATTTATCTATTTACCTTTGTGGGTTCTTTTTTTTTTCACAATTTGAGCCTATTATAAATAAAACATATTATTGCACAAGTCTTTCTGTGGACATTTGTTTTCATTTCTCTTGGATGAATACCTAAGATTGGAAATACCAGGTCGTAGGCTATGTGTATATTTGGTTTTCCTAGACCTTTTTCCGAAGTGATTACACCGTTTTTTACTGCCCCCCCTCCCCCAACATTTGATGTTATTCTTCTTATCTATTCTGGTGGGGGTGGAGCTGTGTCTTATTTTGAACTATTTTCCCTCTTTCACATTTTAAGGTATCTAGGGAGACAGGCCATGTCTGGGGTAGGTACTTAACAATGCAGTCAGGGACCCAGGCACTTTATAGCTTTTTGTTCATCCTTAGTGGATTGATCATAGTTCCATGCATGGCATCTGGGGTAGGCAGTCCTGCCTCTTGGTATTCCTGCCCTTGTGTAATCTACTCTCATTGATTGTGGGCTGGACTTAGTGACTAGCTTTTTTTTTTTTAAGATTTATTTATTTGAGAGTGCGTGCACGCATATGCCCCCAGGGTGGGGGCAGAGGGAGAGGGAGAGAAATCCTCAAGCAGACTCCCTGCAGAGCATGGAGCCTGGATCCAGGGATCGATCCAGAACCTTGAGGTCATGACCTGGGTCAAAATAAAAAACTGGATGCTCAACTGCCTGAGACATCCAGGCACCCCTAGCTTTTAATAGAATATAGCAGAAGTAAGGGGATGCCATTTCTCAGATTGTTATAAAAAGAATGTTGCTTTTTTCATGTGCATTCTTTCTCATTCTTTTTTCTCGGGAAAGCCAAATTGCCATATTATGAGGCAGCTCACAATTGCCATGTTGTGAAGAGACCACGTGGATGTGACGAGGGACAATGGGGCCTGCCAACAATCAAAACAGTGAGCTTAGAAAAAGATCTCCCCCTAGTTGAGCATTCAGATGAGACTGCAGAACCACACCTGGATTCCTGACCCACAGAAAACAAGATAATAAATGTTTGTTGTTTTAAACCATCAAGTTTTGGGGTAATTTGTTATATAACAATAGATAACTAACACGACACCTCATTATCGCATATCATAAGATGGCTTCTGTACCTTCAGGGTCTCATGTTCATGCTCCACACACAGTGAGAAAAAGTGTGAAAGGCAAAGGACAAAGAGGTTTTTCACATCAATCTGTTCATTTTTATCAAGAACTCAGAACCTTTAAAAAAAATCTCACTCAGCAGACTGGTTTATATCTTATTGGCCAGAGAACACCACATGATCACTCTTAGCTAGAAGGCAGCTAGAGAGAAGGGGGGACCTAGATGGAGTTTGCATCAGCCAACTCTCAGTCTCTGGCACATAAACCATTTCAGAAACCCCATAAAAATTTTAAAGACCACTTCCTTAACACTACTCCAGCCAAGTGGCCTTTTGAGGAAATTTTGAAAAAGGACCTATTCAAATGAAAATTTCAGAAAACTCCTCAGGGCCTGGATTGCAGGCTTAGATTTCTCATTTGTGCCCCACACCATTCTGGGAAAACTGCAGTGCTATCTTCCACTGTTACTTCTATGCCTCCAGTCCTTTGCAATAGAAACTTCAGAGTCATCTGGAAATATCCCTGATCACTCTCTGCCCCAGCAAAATGGCTTTTCAAGTTCTGCTAATACTACAGCCTTCATACTTTGTTAATCCCTCCCATCTCCTTCTTTGCTGACCTTTTTTTTTTTTTTTGTAAGATTTCATTATTTGAGAGAGAGCGCACATGTGGGCACAGTGTGTGGGCAGAGCAGAGGGAGAGGGAGAAGCAGCCTCCCCACTGAGCAGGAAGTCCTGGGGCTCTATCCCAGGACCCTGGGATCATGACCTGAGCCGAAGGCAGATGCTTAACGGACTGAGCCACCCTGGTGTCCCATTGCCCTCAGGATAAAGCTTTAACTTCTTCCCGTGGTAGCAAAGACCCTGCATAACAGGATATGGCCCACTTCCCCAGCCTTAACTCTTTGATCCGGACTTGGTGTTCCCACAACACCAAATTGCTGACCTCTCCTGCCTTTGCTTACACTGTCCCCATCTGCCTGGTAGGGCTTCACTTTTGATTGAGAACGCCACTTGATATCCTTAGGGATTCAGCTTTGGTGACAACTTTTCCAAAAAGTTTTCTAGGACTACTAACTCCTTCAACAGTGGGCCTGCTGGCTTCCTCAGTAGCTCAGTAGTTGTGTTCAAATCCTTTTCCCTTAATGGGGGAAAAGGACATACTAGGTTGACCTAGTAGAAAAATCAAAACAATAGGATATGGAATGAAAAATAAGTCTCCCTCCTATTCCTGTCCCCCAGTTTCTTTTCTCCAGTTTCTTAATGCATATGCAAGTATATTTTTTCATATTATTTTTGCACAATCTTAAGGTGTTTTGTGCCTTGTTTTTCCAATTAACACTGTATTTTGGAGATCATTGTATCACTTCACATAGATCTATTTCATTCTTTAAAGAGATGCAGCAATATCTTGTATGCATATCTTAATTTGCTCAAGCAATTTGTTGTCGGACATCTGGGTTATTTCTGATTCTGCTCTGACAAGTAGTGTCGCAAAGTCCAACATCTTTGCACAAATGGATTTGAGTACAGGTGGAAAATATCTTTTCCACAGTTTCTTAGGGGCAGAATTGCTAGATTATAAGGCTAGGTCAAAGGCCAAGAGGATTGTAAATTTTGATATAAAGCTCTAAATAGTCGATTTATTCTTCCCATCAACAATCCAGCTCTGCTGTATTCGAGTTAGGCCATCTACCATAGTAGTCTGGATATGTTTTGAGGGCGGGCATTTCCTAGCATTCACATTTGTCTGGCAGAATTGGCCTTCAATAAATATTTGACTTAATGTTGAATTTTATGTCTAAGTGCCAAGTCCAGGACTGGCATATTGCAGACTCAGCAGGTATCTATTACAATTCCTCAATAATTAGAGTTGCTAACATTTACTGAAGTGTATTAAATGCCAGGACCTGCGTAAGCTCTTTCCCTTTCGCCTCTTTCACTCACGTTCTCCTTCCTCCCGGGGAGAGGGCGTGCCCAGCACCACGACCCGCCCTATCTGTGCATTCGTTGGCCAAACCCGACGCCCGTTACTGCCGAGTCCCGCCCAAGCCGCGCCCCCACGCAGTCCGCAGGGCCGAGAGAAGGCGCGGCTATAGTGCCGCTGGATGATTCAGACGGTCTCCTCTCGTGAGAATCGGGACGTGCCCGAGGACCGGCTTGGTGCGCGTGGGAGCGCGCTCCGCGTCCCCGCGGAGCTGGCGCGAGAGGCCCGTGGCCGCTGCGGGCGCACGCCCTGCCCCGCCCCCTCCCCGGCACGCAGGCTCCGCGCGAGCTCGCGCGCGCGCGCGCTCCCGTTCAAGCTTCGGTCTGGCCAGCGGCGATCGGGCGGGTGGAGGCTGGGCCGCTGAGGTACGAGGGGAGGAGCCGCCCCTGCCGCCGTCGCCGTCGCCGCCGCTGCTGCTGTAGATGAGCATGTCTGCAACTCGAGCCAAGAAAGTGAAGATGGCCACCAAATCGTGCCCCGAGTGCGACCAACAGGTGGGCGCCGGGGGCCGGCGGGCCGGGTGCGCGGGCGGGCGGCCGGGCGGCCGTCGCCGGCGGCCGTTGGCTGTGGAGAGGCCGCCTCGCCGGGTGGTCTGGCCCTTGGGCTCGGTGGCCACGGTGGGAGCCCGGTGGGAGGCCGGGCTGAGCCGAGGGGATGCCAGGGAGACTCCCGGGTCTCAGTCCGGCCGGTGCCCACCTGGCGGCGTTAGCCGGGCGACTGTGTGTGTCCTGCGGCCCGTGGCGCGGGAGGGAGGCGTGGGTTTGTCTGGAGCGGTCGGGGCGCCCTGTCCGAAGCCTCCGAGAGTCGCCCGGCCGGCTCTGGGTGACAGCGGCGGGAGTGTGGGGGCAGTGGCCTAAGTGGACGAGCACGGCCCCTTCAGCCCCCCTCTGCCCCGACGAGAATGCCCAATGTGCCCGACTCCGAGTCCAGGCTCCTGGCTCCTGGCTGCGAAAGCCGCTCCTGCCACGCAGGGCTGCTTTGTTCCCATCAGACGTATACTGTGATCCCCCAAAACTGTTCCCACCTGGGGGGGACGCTTAAATGTGACAAAAGGGGCCGCAATCCAATGGTTTCACGTTTAGGCGAATTTGGACATTTTTCCTCCTAAATATATTTCTTATATTTTTGACGGAAATAATCGTGAATCTTTACATTGTTTTTTTTTTGTGGAACATTATTGAATAACGCCCCCATTGAAGCCCTTTCCTTCTGGGCGCTCCTCACCTCCCCCACTCGCCGCCGTATCCGCTGTTAAAAATTTGGCGTTTCTGCTTCATGATCTTTTTAAAAAATTTATATGTAGTTTCATGAATTTTAAATGACTTCTTTTTACACAAAATTAATAGTGTCATAGCTGTAATTTAAAAAATCTCATTTTACTGTTTCTTAGTTTTATGCATGCCTCATTCTTTACTGGAATCATGGACGTTCCTTACAATCTATTGAGTTAAAACTCTTCAATTAAAACCATTCGAAGGCCCTTTTTTCATGTCAGTGTGCAGATCTGGGTGTGATTTTTTTCTTTTCTACTGAGAGAATTTTTTCAAAATGACTACCTCTCTCCTCCCCTTTCCTTAAAAAATTTTTTTTTCTTTAAATCAGGAGTAATTTGAAATGGCTGGAGACTTTTTAAAAAATAACATGCTGATGTCAGTGCATTCTTTAAGAGCAGTCTTGTACCTTGATCAAATCTTGTAAAAGAAAATGTTACATGTTTTATTCAGTATCTTTTATGGGCCTGTGGTAGAAATGCAAGGAAGGAAGATTGTGTAAGGAGAATTGTAGTTTTATTGATATTATGAGTTTATTGAGTATGCAGTATAAAAAGAATTTAGTCATGTTTCCTGAAGTAGAGTTAAACTTCCCTTCTTAACATTTGACTGAGTTTACCGCTTAAACTAAATTTGTTAAATTCTGACAAAATTGGACTTTGTGATTTAAGTCTCTTTGTAGGAGATTATATCAATATTTAAATCATTTCCATTTGTTCCAATTAACTGCTGAAGTATAAGGTTTACATGTTATGCTGTATGCATTCCAGTTTCTGTAGGGCACAAGTTATTGCAGATCTTGACCTTGTTTTATTTGGCATAAAGTAATCTTTTGGGAAAAGTAACCTGTTTTTAATATCCTGGTTAAAGAAAAAGGGAAGGACAATAAACTTGTTAGGAGTCCCTGTAATTGTTCAACAAAATGTGATCAGCATTTTATTTGGAAACGTACATTAATCTTGTTATACACACACAACAGGTCCTCCCTTCCCCCCCAGCTGCCATAACAAAATACCATAGGTTAAGTGGCTCAAACAATAGCAGTTTATCTTCTCACAGTTCTGGAGGCTCAAAGTCTGAGATCTGGCAGAGAGAGAGAGCTTTCTGGTTCCCTTATAAGGCCACTAATCCCATCATGAGGGCCCCACCCCTGTGACTTTAAACCTCATTAACCTCCAAATACTTACAGATTGGGGGTTAGGGCTTAAACATATGAATTGGGGGGGTGTGTGTGACAGTTCAGGCCATAGCAAGCTACTACATAATTTAGAATGTTGGTTTTGTTCTTTATTGTAAATATTTAAGAGAATATAATATACATAAGGACTAATTAAAACTTTTGGTGATTCTTAAAATTGATTTATCTTTTACTAAAAGTAACTGGTTTGAAGGAAATAAAAGATTAATTTTAGTTTTCTAATTATTGGAGAGTACAAGCTTCTTATAGTTATAAATGAGAAAAAAATTATAATCCAGAAAGCCATTTTTTTTTTTAAGATTTTATTTATTTATTTGACAGAGACAGAGATAGCGAGAGCAGGAACACAAGCAGTGGGAGTGGGAGAGGGAGAGCAGGCTTCCTGCCGAGGAGGGAACCCGATGTGGGACTCGATCCCAGGACCCTGGGATCATGACCTGAGCCGAAGGCAGACGCTTAACGACTGAGCCACCCAGGCGCCCCAGAAAGCCATTTTTTAAACATCATTAGATTATTGTTATTCTGAGTTGTTTGATGAATATTAAAATATAATTTAGGTATAGTTTATAAACATAAAAGGATATGTAAAATCTTTAGTTTGAGATTGCACCACTTAAATAGATTTACATATATTCTTTGTGTGTGTAGGTTTAAAATCAGGTACAGAGATCAGCAAACAAGAAAGACCTAGATTTTCAGTTGTTTTATAACATCTCCTTTACATGTCTCCATTGAAAATACCGTTCTGAAACATCTCAACCACAATACTTTTCATTTTCGGGAGGTTTCACATCCAGTAGCTCAAATTACTGAACCATTTTGTATGTAGTAATATTCAGGATTCTTGTTAGTTGTCTGGTATCTTTTGTGTATGTTTCTGTTTCTGCCTTAATTTTTTTAAATAGAGCGGCTTTTTTTTTTCTATTTATAGGAAATTTTATGTGTTATGTAGCAAACATGTCTACTGTAGGTCACTTTGATTCTCTTAGCAGCAAGACTGTAAATGAGTTCTCTATAATGTGGTTATTTTGAACTTTTAAAAAATCAATGAAACAGTATAAGACCAGGATCTTGTTTCTTGCACTTTTTTTTACCCTTTTTTTAACTTTTTACTTGTTTTTAGCTGTTTTACTTGTAAACATAAAAACGACCTGAATGTACTTTTCAAGGGAGAAATTGATGAGCCATAAGTCATCAATAAACAAAACTTTTTTTTCCCCTATTTTAAAACCCTGAGAGTATAGCATTAGAACTTTAGTTAGTGTCATCTTTGGCATTTCAACTGAAATTTGAAGGCAATGTAGGGTTTTTTGTTTTAAAACCGAATTACACTGTAAAGAGATTAATATTACTGAAGCCCACCCTATTTAATAATTCTTTTTCTAGGATTTGGGTTGTGGTGGTGGTTAGTTGTATTTTTTTTTCACGGTTGGGGTTGGGAGAAGGAACTTTCCATTTTAAAAGGGACTTTAGGGGGGCGCCTGGGTGGCTCAGTTGGTTAAGCGACTGCCTTCGGCTCAGGTCATGATCTTGGAGTCCCAGGATCAAGTCCCGCATCGGGCTCCCTGCTCGGCAGGGAGTCTGCTTCTCCCTCTGACCCTCCTCCCTCTCATGCTCTCTGTCTCTCATTCTCTCTCTCGCAAATAAATAAATAAAATCTTTAAAAATAAATAAATAAATAAAAGGGACTTTAGGGTGACTTAGCTCAGGCACATAAATGTTTCTTGATCATAAAACACTCTCTAAGGAGTGAAAATCAGCTTATCAATTAGTGTTTGTGCATTCTTTCATCCCAAAGCCATATGTACATGTCTCAGATACCTAAGTGCAGCCCTCTGTTAATTTAGACAATGCGTTATGTATTTTTCTTGTATATAAGACAGAGACCTAAATTTAAATTTGTTCAGTTTTAGTAGCTGGAAGAAAATGCTTGTGGAATAGCAAAGGATCTTTTGAATAAGAGCATCATGTTTCTATGTTTTTTGGATAACATTAATTTAAAACAATTTATATTACAGTGAATGTCCTTGATGTGTGTAAGTATAAAGGAAATGAGTCAGTACCTTTGAGTTTAGTTTCTATGAAGATGTGAAATTTTAAAAATGACAAACATCTATTTTGGGTGCATTTTACAGTATTAAAAAATGTAACATTTCATTTTCTGTCCTGGCATGAAAGAATCTCATCACATTTTTAATAAAGCATGCTATGTGACCTATTGGAGTTTGATTATTTTTTTAAGATTCATTGTTATTTTTCTTAAATGCAAATTAGAGATCCTTTGTTCAGTGTTTTTATGCAAAGAAAAAGAATTCTGCCAAAATATTAATTAAGCTTAATTAGATCAAGTATTTATATTTCAGACTGTGAAGCATTCTTTACATACATGGATAAAAAGTTTTATTTTTCAATTTTTATTTATTTTAGAGAGAGTGCACTCAGTGGGGGGAGGGGTAGAGAGAGAGGGAGAGAGATTCTTCAAGCAGACTCCCCACTGATCATGGAGCCCTATGTAGGGCTCGATTCCAGGACCCCGAGATCATGACCTGAGCCAAAATGAAGAGTCAGCCACTTAACGGACTGAGGCACCCAGGTACCCCTGGATAAAAAGCTTTATAATTGTAACTAAGCTTTTACACAAGCAGAACAATGGGCAAATGGAATTTATCTTACAAAGTGAATTGCAATTTTCTGACCATAAAATATTCTGTGAGTACTTTTTGTTGAGATTAATTTCTGGTTTTTGGTGAACATGTCTTGATTTCAAGGATCTAATATTAAAGTTAATATGAGTGAAAAAAAGTTAATATGAGTGAAATGATTGCGAAGAAATCAAAACATTTTAAAAATGATTTTTAGGGGCGCCTGGGTGGCTCAGTCTGTTAAGCGGCTGCCTTCGGCTCAGGTCGTGATCCCAGGGTCCTGGGATCGAGCCCCACATCCGGCTCCCTGCTCAGCGGAGAGCCTGCTTCTCCCTCTCCCTCTGCCTGCCACTCTGCCTACTTGTGCTCTCTCTCTGTCAAATAAATAAATAAAATCTTTAAAAAAATGATTTTTAGTAACATTTGGCTTTTGAAAAATTACAGACTTGAAATAGAGAAAGGAGCTACTTGTAATTCACACATTTAGAAACAGAAGTTTGAAGAGCTTAAGTGTTTTATCCAATGTCCTTCCTGGAGCTGAGACTAAAAGATCCTAGATCTTGACTCCTCCTATATTCTCTTTTGTTTTGTGCTATACTTTTGCCCCACAGAGTAGTAGTTGTAAACTATTCTTTTTTTGTCAGTGGTAATTGGCATCTTGCCCTCTCCTATTAGAACCAGAGTCATTTTCAGTACTTTCCCTTTAAAAAAAATTTTTTTAAGAAAGTATAGTTGGCATACAATGTTATGTTAGTTTCAGGTGTACAACATAGTGTTTTGATAACCCTATATAGGTTATGCTATGCTCACGATAAATGGAGCTACCATCTGTCACCATATAAGGCTATTCCAGTACCACTGACTGTATTCCCTGTGCTGTACCTTTCAACCCAGTGAGTCACTCATTCTATAATTAGGAACCTATACCTCCCACTCCCCTTCATCCATTTTGCCTATTCCCCTATCCCCTACCCAACCCCCCCCAAGGGGTCATCAGTTTGTTCTCTGTATTTATGGGTCTGTTTCTGCTTTTGTTTGTTCATTAGTTTTGTTTTTTAGATTTCACTTATAAGTGAAATCATATGATATTTGTCTTTTTCTGACTTACTTCACTTAACATAATATTTTCTAGATCCATCCATGTTGTTGCAACTGGCAAAATCTCATTCTTTTTTATGTCTGAGTAATATTCTGGTGTGTGTGTGTGTGTGTGTGTATCACATCTTCATCCATTTATCTATGGATGGACACTTGGGTTGCTTCCATATTTTGGCTATTAATAAATAATGTTGCAATAAACCTGAAGTACATATATCTTTTCAAATTAGTGTTTTTGTTCTCTTTGGGAAAATAGTGGAAGTATTTTCCCCTTTTGAAATGTCTGGCACATCTACCTTTTCTCCATTTCCATTCTCACTATTCCAGTTGGGTCCTCATTCTTATGCTGGGATTACTTTAATTACTTCCCAACCACGCTCCCTTTTCCAGCTGGTGCTAATAAACTGCCATCAAACAGATATTTTAGGAAATACTACCTTTTTTCCACATATTTTCCCCTGTTCTGATTCTGTTATGGTTTTCTATTGGTTACTGCCATCAGTACATGTTTATCCTGCATTTTCTATGTACATGGTATTGTAAAGCATTCAGAGAATGTGAAGATGTGTAGGACACAATACCAGTCTCAATTTGTTGTAAGGAGGTGGGGTTTAAATAAATCTATGATTCCTACTTTGGTAATTTATCATTCAGTTCAGGAGACTACATAAACACTGATAAGTTTAGTAGAAAAATAGTAATAATACACTTTTTCTTATTTTTGTACAGGTTCCTGTTGCATGTAAATCGTGTCCTTGTGGTTATATATTTATTAGCAGAAAACTTTTAAATGCAAAACACCCAGAGAAATCACCACCTTCTACAGGTAATTGTGAGAGTTTACCACATACTTAGCTTTTTGATTTAGAAGTGTAAAATTAATTTTTGTGAATATATTATTTACATCTTGAAGTTAAAAATTAAAACCTATTGAAGTATGCCTTTGGTTTTTATTAGCTGTTGGAAATCAGCTTATGACATTAGTTTGCTCTTCATTCCATTTAAATGTTAACTCCCTTATAATGCTGATAAATCTTGTAGCAAATTTTCTATTTTTTATTATCGAAGGATGGAGAGCCATTGAAGGGTTTTAAGCAAGGGAGTGATCTGATCTGATTTCTAAAAATAAAAAAGTAATTTAATTGAGGTATAACTGACATTCAATAAATTGCACATATTTAAAGTGTACAGTTTGATACGTTTTATCCTATGATTACACTAGTCACCACAATCAAGATAATGAATAATGTTCATCATTCCCAAAAGTTTTCTAGTTCCCCTTTGTTACTCTGTCCTTGCTAACCAGATAACCACTGATGTGCTTCCTGTCATTACTTCTAGAACTTTATATATAAATAGAATAAAATATATATAAATAGAATCATACAGTGTATACTCTTTTTTTTGCCTGGCTTCTTTCATTGAGCATAATTTAAGATTCAGCCATATCATTGTGTATATCAGTAAGAATTAATTCCTTTTTACTGCTTAGTAGTGCTCTTTATATGGATAAACCACAATTTATTTACCCATTCACTGGTTAATGGACATTTGGTTTTATCCTCCTCAGTGCTAGTAAAATTTATAATGACTTAAAATATTTTTTTGGACTAGTGACTGGAAAAATATAACTTGATTTTGAGGTGAATATAATTTTTAGACATATTGGTTATTTTTTATAATTCTCTGATTTAGAATATCTAAAAAATATTTTTTTTGGAATTTTACTTGCCCATTAATGTAGACAAATTGGATTTATTCAATGGATTGAATTTTGAAATTCAAAAAGATGAAATTTTGTTGTTTATCCTTAGATAAAATCAGAATAGTGATGATCTCCAAATAAGTAGATTGATTACAAATAAATTTTGAGTGCCTGCTGTATGCTAGGCACTGTTCTAAGCCTTGGGCATAATGAATGAATCTACTGTTAAGGCAGTTCACTGCTGTTATGGAGCTTACATTCTTGTGGGCATGAGATAGACAATGAACAAATAAACAGCTTGTGATAAATGCATTGTAGGAAATTAAAATAGATTGCCGTCCTAGCATGTGTCTGGAAGGCTACTTTTGATTGGGTGATTGGAGAAGGCCTCTCTGAGAAGGACATTTAAAGTGAGGCTGAATTGAAACAAGGGGCTAGCCATGATAAGATCAAGGAGAAGAACATTCTTGACAGATGAAATAGCAAATGCAAAAATTTTAGGGCTGGAAAAAGTTTGGTATATTTTAGGAACAAAAAGGCCTATGTGGTTGCAGTGTAGACAGTAAGAGCAGGGGAGTGTGGGAGATGAGGCCACAGGGATAGAGGCCAGATTGTGTAGGGCTTTGTAAACCAGAATAAGAAGTTTTGGATTTTCTTCTTAAAATATGAGGACAAACTATTCCTAGGATGTAGGATGGAGTGAGGAAAAGGTAGCATGCTCTGATTTGTCTTTTAGAAATTCCATTTTGGCTGCTGTCTAGAGAATAGTTTGTTGGGAATACAAGATAGAAGCGGGCTATTGCAGTATGTTAACTGAGTGAGAATGCTGAGTTAGTGCTTAGGTTATAGTAGCAAGTGATTCAGGAATTATTTATATTTATGTCTGTGAGAGTTCTCTTTATCTTAGGTCTATATAGAAGTGGCAAGAAAGTTATTTAATTCCATTTCTGCCTTTGTTTGAGTTTGTTCCTTTCATCATGAGAATAAAGACTTTGCTGGATAACTATATAGGAATCAGCTTGTTAAAAATGGGTTTCTGGGTCTTATTCCCTAAGCATTTGATTCAGGTATGAGAACCCGGGAATGATCATTCAGTAGGTATCTGGGGTGGTGTGTCAACTCAGTTCCGGGTCTCCAAAATAAGTAAGACATGGTCGTGCCCTTAGCAGGACAAGTGTGTTTATTTTTTTTATTCAACAAATATTTTCAAGCGCCTTCTATATACCAGTGGTTCAGGTGAGAAATGAGGTAAAGAAGATACCCAACAAGGACAGAGAGAAGGGACAGATGCTGCAAGTATTAAGGAGTCAGAATCACTTGAACCAGAGAGAAGAATTTTACAATTACTGTCAATGACTTGGATTACTGGTTAGAAAGGGAATATAAAAAGGAAGACAAGTTTTGAGGGAAAGATGAAAAATTAAGTTTTGGGTGTGGTTATGAAATATCATCCATGTGGATTTTTTTTCCCAGTTGGACATATAGTCTGAAGCTTACGCTATAGCCTCAACTGGTGGTAAATTTTTTGAGCCATCAGTGAATAGATGGTAGTTGATCTCATAGAAATGGATGAGCTTGTGCCCAGAGGGTTGGTAGGGTAGGAAGAGGAAGTTCAGTGACTGAACTGTGGCAAACTCCAGTCTTAAAGGGTACAGGTTATTAGGGAGGGAGTTTAGGTCAACTGAGAAGATGTACATGTACATGTCAGCTATAGGAGAACAACCAATGGAGAGTGGTGTTACGTAAGTCATAGTGATGAGTAAGAAGCAGTTCATTATTATTTTACATTTGGAATTTCCTAAGGTCTGTTGTTTATTGAGAGCGGTCTTGTGACCTTGAAGTAAAGATGAGACATAAAGCCTAGAAATTCCCTGGAGGAGGAAGAGGAACCAGCAAAAGAAACAGAAAAGTTTAAAAGGATGGAGGAACATCAGGAGTAGACTGTGCCATAGAAACTAAAGGAGGAAAAGGTTTTAAGGAGAAAGGGTTAAGAGTATTCAAAACCTAGAGAACAATTTGGTATAGTCAGACATGGGGGTTGGAAACCTTGGCTTCAGATTCAGTTAGAGAGTTTGTCACTCTCTAACAAGTTAATTAACCTCTGTGAGCAGCTGCTATTGAGTATAAGATAGGCTTATAGTATAAACCTTAGAGGATTGAAGTGCAGATGAAGTGCACGTGAATGTGGCTAATGTAAACAGAGTTTAGTATGTTATAGGTACTCAAATATTCATTTCTACAATTAAATTTCTTAAAAGTAAAGATTTGCCTTGGATAGTTCGTAGTATGTGGGAGATTGAGTATATAATTTTAAAAATCTCTATAGCTTATCAAGTACTTGAACATTGTCAGTGGGATCCAGAACATTTCAGTTTTAATTAGAGAATTTATACACAGAAAATGAAAATGGATAATATATATCTGGAAAGATAATGAACTTTGTTAATAATCAGGGAAATGCAGTTTAATTAAAATACCATTCTTTTTACCCACATTCTGATAAAAATGTAAAGGATTTCCAAGAGCTTTTATGAGTATGGCAGAATCCAAAGTCTCATACTAGTGGTGAGGTTATAAATCACAGCTTTTTTGCAGAACAGTCTGACAGTAGTTGTTAAAGTTTTAAATGCACATAACCTAGAATCTAGACTTTTTATCAGTAGGTATATATCCTAAAGATACAAATGTTTTTAATACACAGTGAAATATTTATTAGGATTTATAAGCAACACTGTTTATAATAGCAGAAAATTAAGCCAAATATCATCAGTAGGGAAATGGTTAAGTAGGGTACATCTTTTAGGGAACAACAGTATGTGCTAATTAGAGAGAATGATGGAGATTTTTATGTACTGACATGGAAAAATCTGTAAAACAAAGTTAATTTAAGGAAAAGTATAAAACAATACTTACATGAATTCATTTTTGTTTTACAAAATTTTTTTCTTGTAATGAGAATTTTTAAAATTTACCCTTAGCAACTTTCAAATATGCAGTACAGTATTATTAACTATAGTCACCATGCTGTATGTTACACGATCATGACATATTAATATTATAATTAGAAGTTTGTACTTTTGGACCCCCTTCACCTCCTCCTCCCCCTCTAACTCTCACCTCTGGCAACCACCAATCAGTTCTCTGTTATTTATGAGTTCTGGTTTGTTTTTTAAGATTCCACATAGAAATGAGATCATATGGTATTTAATCTTTCTCTGACATATCACTTAGCATAATGCCCTGAAGGTCCATTCATGTTGTCAGAAATGGCAAGATTTCAGTTTTATGGCTGAATAAAACTCCACATTACCTTTATCCATTCATCCATCAGTGGACATTTAAGTTGTTTCCATATCTTGGCTATTGTAAATAATGCTGCAGTGAACATGGGGTGCATACATCTTTTCGAGCTAGTGTTTTCATTTTCTTTGGATAAATGCCCAGAATTAGAATTGCTGTATCATGTGGTCATTCTGTTTTCCATTTGCTTTTAAGACCCCACAAAATTATTTCTACATGTAATGCATAGATGGATAGATCACTAAATAATGAGGAAGGAATCAAGGAAGACTTCTACTTACGTAATTAAATATTTAAAACAAGAAAGATCCATCTGTAAAGTTCAAATTGAACTTATTTTAAAAGTGAAATCAAAGCTATAAAAGATAATTTTAAATTTCAGTGGGTTGAAATTTAGTAACTTTGTGACATGTGACATGTAGGAGGAAAATAATCTGTCAAGTCAGATTTATCTAAGCTTGAATTGCTCAAAACTCACATTTTTCAAATATATTATCTGTGTATCTTCATAACACAGTAGAAATGGGGAGGTAGGACACTAGACCTGTATAGAATTTTGTCTAGCTGAAAATACATTTAAATAAACAAAATTTATTATGGAAATCAAAGGATTTTTTTTTTAAGACTTTATTTATTTATTTATTTGAGACAGAGAGCACACGAGAGGGGGGAGGGTCAGAGGGAGAAGCAGGCTCCCTGCTGAGCAGGGAGCCCGATGCGGGATTCGATCCTGGGACTCCAGGATCATGACCTGAGCCGAAGGCAGTCACTTAACCAACTGAGCCACCCAGGCGCCCGGAAATCAAAGGATTTTTTAAAAG